GTGTCTGTCCCACTGGACCACCAGAGGTATGTCAGGCAGCAGTGAGCAGCTTTCCCCACCAGAACCCAGCAGCCACCCGAGGCGCCCAGTGAGGCCCCTGCCCCAACAGCAAAACTGAGGCTACCACATGGCCCAGAGGCCCCAATACAGCCTAACATGACACCAACCACGGAAGGACTACCCTAGTCCAAGGTCTTAAGAGCCTCTCTCCCTTGGCTTCTTGAGACCCTCCATCAAGGCCAAGGGGACCTGTAAGTAAGCGGGGCAGGGGGAGCAGGCCGAGAGCCGGAAGAGCTTATCTTTAGGGGAAGCAGCCCCTCCATCCCCAAACCACAGCCTGACTTCCGGAGCCACACCCTCACCCAGGCTCAGAGGCCCTCCCCACAGCTTTCCAGAGCTGGAGCCCCCTCCTCTGTCCTTCAGCCCTTTCCCAAACTCCAGCCTTCCAGAGCTAGGCTGAAGATTGAGCACTAAAGACTCAGACGGATCCTCCATCCCAGCAGCCCCTGATCCCCTAAACCCAGACCTCCCCTGAGAGTAGTCTTTCTGGGTCTTTGCACCTGACCAGAACCCCCAAGAACACCAAGCCCATCCCTTGCTTACCCCTGGCCCAAACTTCCTTGCCAACTTCCCAGCCTTCTCCCTGGCTGTGGGGTTTGACTGCTTTCACTTCCCCAAATAAGCCCCACCCTTTCATATCCGGGCCCCGGGTGGCCTAAAAACACTACCCATAGCCCATCTCCTAACACCTCAGCCTGGCCAACTCCTACCACTGCGCTGAGCCATCTCCTCTAGGAAGGCCAAGTCCTTTCCATCTGGCCTCAGTGCCATCTTGTCTTCCCCAGAGCTGTCCTAGCCTGTCGCTGCCTGGCTGTGTGGTGCCTCCCCAGAGGTTGTGCCATTGGGCACATACTGCTCCACCTCTTACATAGCAGACATGCAAACTCTCCTCCACACTGCAATATGACCAGCACTCAATTGGCTGTGTAAGCAGGCCCAGGTATGGCCTTCCATTTGATCTCTGGAGACTCAGTTCCCACCTGACTGATGAAGATAAGCCCCCTGTCCCTCCATGGTCCTGGCCATAAAGCCACCTTATAAATCTACCAATGTTGAAAACAGGAAGGAGCCCACCCAGCCCACGGAAGCAGTCTGGACTTCCAGGTTCATCCTCCAACTGTTCTCTGGACTCCCAGCTACACTAGGCTCAGAGCAAGATGCTGAAGCCACAAGAAAGGAGACAGTACAGGGTTCTTATGCGTCCTGTACTGGGAGAGAGGAGCCATGTAATGAACTTGCTAAACCAGGGAAGGAGATAGCAGGGTGGGCCAGGTGCAGCCTGTGGAAAACAGCCATGCCTAGAAGTAGAGAGTACAGGCTCTGAGCCCAAAAGCAAAGTGTGCATCCAGCTTTATCTGTGAGGAACTGGGTGACCTTAGGCACGTTCACTAACCCCTCTGGGCTTCTGGCACAAAGAATGAACTGGTAATGGTACCCAACCGTCAGGGGCCTCCCACAAAGGATAGTACACAAGTCGGGGCTGTGACCACGTAGGGTCATGTCAGCCTAAGGAACCTTGAGGTAGAAGGACCAGGAACATACTTCCCAGGGTTCTCCATCTCACTGCTCGACAGCCCCCCAAGGTAGCTCTTCTCCCTAACTCCCCTTCTAGGCCTAAGAAAGGAATACATAAGTGCTGGCTCTGACCTTAGACAACCCCCTCACACACACTGTCACATACCTTCCCAAAGGCTGAGTAATAGCTCCAGGGAGTCTGGGTGTTTCAAAATATGCCAACTCCCATCAGGGCCCATTAGAGCAGCACTTCAGCCCACTTCAAAGGGCTCCTCCTTGCTAGTCAAATGGGGCCCTGGAGATTTGTGTGGGAGGCAGGGACAGGAAAGCCCTTCCCAGCCCCTTGCAATTGTAGGGAAGCCAGCCTCCCTACTGCAGGGGCAGGGAGGCTGAGGCCAGGAGGAGGAGGCAATGGTTTCTAGAGAATGGCAATGGGGCAGACAAGCCCACCATGGGCCCCAAGTCCACATTCCTCCTGCTGAGTGAGAGACCAGGAGATACGTCCATGAATGATGCTGTGCCTTCCACAGCACCAACAAGACAAACTCATACTGATCTGGAGGCTATAGAGCCTACCAGGCCTCAGTCACCTCACATGTGCTGCAGAATCCTGGGCCTGCTCACCTAGTCAGAGGCACTGATGTAAGTCAGCTGAGCCTGGGGCACAAGGCTAAGTCACTTACAAGTTGGGTGGCAGGGCCCGGGCCCTTGAAGACAGGTGCTGCAAGGGCCAGTAAGAGTCAAGGCTTAGGGCTCAAAAAGTCATCACTGGCACCATGTGCTGCATACCTTCCCTCCCCTTGGGAGCTCCATGCTCCTGAGAGCCCAGCCTGCCATTATACAAAAGGGGTGTGAGCACCTTCCCAGAGCCAGGCCTGTGTCCCAGAGCCATGGCCTGTTACCTGCACCTAGGTCCTGATGCCCAGGGAGGAAGCAAAGGGAGGTGGCCCTGGGGTCTGGAAGCACAGCTGAGAATGGGGCATTGCACTAGTGAACTCACTGAGGACCCCCTTCCTCCCAAAGTCAGGGAATTCCTTCCAGTGGCCAGCCATGTGGAGAGGGACAGGGACAGGCACAGAGGCAGAAGAGGAGGACATAATAAAGGAAGGCACTCCAGCGACCACAGGAACCTACAACAGCAAAAGCAGGTTGGCCACAGAACCGAGGGCCAGGAAGAAGACCGCCACAGGGATGAGCTCAAGGCAGACACGTTAGCTCCTTTCTTTCTGGACCCCAGGACTCCTGCCAGGCATCCTGATGCCAGCTAAGAGCAAGACAGAAATAGGAAGGCTGGTGGGCAGAGGGGCTCCACAGGCAAAGCACAGGAGAGAGCACACCAGTCTTGGGAGCAAGTCGGAAGTCTGGCCCAGAGTGACGAGTAGACAGGGATGGTGCTGGACAGGGAAGACAGGCCAAGCCTGAAGGCCTAGGAGGCGGAAGGGGTTCTTGAGTGACCTTTGAAGAAGAGAAACTGTCCTTACACAGCTTGAGGTCCTAGAATCACTGGCTTCATCCTGGGTCCAGGCTGGCTGCCCCAGCCCTGTGCTGATCACAGGGATCGCTCAGCTTTGTCTCACCAGCATAGCACCTGGCCACACTACATGTAGCCTGCCAGGACAGCAGGTAGCAAAGCAGTAAGAGAGCCCGGTCCTAGGTGTCCCTGGAGAAAGGCCAGCCACAGGAACAGAGCTCAGGACCAGGCCGCTTGCCACACCACCTACTACCTAGTCTCTTTGGCAAGGCTTCTCAGAGAAAACAGAGAACACTGGATCCTTCAGCCAGGCTGGTCTGAGCCAGGGCTGGTGACACCCAGCCATGACACAGTGTTGAAACTTGTGAGCAGCAGCAGGTCTAGCCAAAGCCTATGGCCAGATAAAGGTGTTGTGCCACCCTCCTAGACAGGACAGAAGGCTATTTACTGGGCAGAAGTGGCTGTAGGATACTCTGCCCCTAGGCTGCAGAGGTTCTGTTGGTCCACAACCTCTCAGACAACATGCATCTGACCCTCCTATTTACCTTCCTGGTACTGTCAGCCCCATTTTACAGATGAGAAAACAGAGGAACAGAGGAAGAAAGTGGTTAACACAAGAGACACAGGCTATCCTCTGGCCCTACCTATCCTCAACTCCCCCAGAAGTATTCCCATCTTCTATCCAAGGCAGAAGAGAGCCCTATAACCTGATGATGACCATCACTTCTGCCTGAGTGCATCCCATGGTTGTAAGGATTAAACAAAGTGGCACACTCTGCCCTGGCACAGAGACGGCACACCTGGAACCCGGAGCCCCAGGAGAACCCAGGACTCAAGGCATGCTGCAAGATTGGTGTCAGACACCTCGGATTTCCAGTCACCCTCATCATTTCAGCCTCTCCAAGACAAGGCTGTGTCAGTATCTTTCTACAGGTTTGTTTATTTTTTTCCAAAATTCATTCAAACATTAAATACTTAAATTTTAAACATGTTTATTCACACATAGGCTGAAACCTGAGGAACAACCATTCATGCTCTGGGATCCACTGGTCTAGCCCATCCTCCACATCATCTGCTTGCACCAACTGAGAGTTGGTGACAGCCCAGCCTTCTTGGCAGAGCCGGTCCATACATTATGGCCTCCTGTCCAGGCCTTTGAGACCGGGCCCAGCCAGCCCCACATCCAGAGACTGTGCCATCCTCTCCCAGAGACTGGCCAGGGAGGACAACCCCAGTCCCAACTCCGCCGACCTCTGTATCTGAGTGATGAATAGGGATAAAGCACCTGCTCCACCCCATACCCGTGTGCATGGGACCCCCTCCAGGTGGCCCACCTTGGCCCTGAGGCCTTGGGTTGAGAGGGCAGAAGGAAAAAGGAACTGTCCCCTTTTCCCGAGACATCTTGGTTTTCTCTTAGGTGTCTACCATTTTCAGAATTTAAAATGTTTTTCTTATTTGTAATGCTGGGTATGAAACCCAGAGCCTTGTGTGGTAGGCGAGCACTCTACCACTGAGCTAAACTCCAGCCCCCACTTTCATAAGTTTTCGTTTTATTTAATAAGTTCCTTTGCTAGGTTTTACTTTCTGTGAGAAAAGTAAAGTGTACTTGTAAATGTTAAATCATAACCTTGAAAGAAACGCGGGCTGAGAGTCTGTGGTTCCCAGAATTCTAGGTGGATAGGGTCAAATGAACATTGTGGTCGCCAGCAAATGTTTTCCCAGGCTGGGGGAAGCGGGTGATAAGCCCTCTGAGCTCCCCAGTAGGGAGCCGCCCTCACAGCTGGCTGCTCAGGAGGCTGGGGAGCCTCCTCTTCCCACCAGCTTGCCCAGCCCACCAGCAGCCAAGCCCAACCTCGCCTTCCTCCCACCCACCTGGGGCCTAGGGCCTGTCCTGCTGTCCCCTCAGGCCCAGACCAAGGGACAGGCGCCACCCCATGCCCACATCACACTTTACCTGACTCTTCAGGGACACTGAAGCTGCCCAGCCACGCTCTGTGCTTGCCGGGAGGTGGCCACTGGGCCCCTGCTAGCCTTGCTGGGATGGCATCCAGTCTCACACATGGGAAGGCTCTCTCCTCCAGCTACCTAATGAAAGTGAGTCACATCTGGGACCCACCACTTCCTGTTCGCTGCAGTGGTGGTGGCAGAAAGGCTAACCCTGGGCCCTCAGCTCCGCTCAACTCGGACTGGCTGCCATGGGGGTGTGCGGGGGGCCCCTCTCCCAGCCTGCGAGCCCGCCACGGGAGTGGGGGAGCGGCCAGCCCAGGCTCCCAGCTCCGATGACTTCATGGAAATTTGAAGCTCAAAGCTGGAACAATTTTGAAAAAAAATAAAAAATAAAACAAGAACTGAAAAACTCCATTAGAAGCCCCAAGATGACTGCTCAAACAAGGAAAGAGATGCATCCTTACTGAGCAATTAGCCCAGACAGCTTGGCACAAGCCTCGGCTGAGCCACTCCCACACAGGCCCCTTCCTCCCTGGACTCATTCCATCCTGTAGTGAGGTAGCCCGGGCATTGTCTAAGAGGTCACAGATCTTTCTGCATTTCACATCTGCTCCCAGAGGGGATGAGGGTGAGTGAGGCTGTTGTTCAGCCTTGGAGCTCTAACTCCAAACAGGAGAGCCCTTGAAGACCCCAGCAATAGGCATTGTCATCATGAACTCAGGACTCAAAACACCGGGTACCTCTCTATCATGTCAGGCCTCAGTTTCCTCTTGGGATCATGGGGACATAGATGTCTGCCATGAGCTGAAAAGCATTAAGCAGGAGACCCTCGGACAGAGAGGGAGGCCCGGCATTTGGCTCTTGGGCAGCCTTTCTTGGCATGTGACTTGAGGTACTTGAGATTATTTTTTCCTTTTTCTCTAGATTACCCTACTTTCTAATGAACTTCTCAAAGCAAAGCATGTCTCCCCCTCCCACAGAGGGGGATATTCCTGGTCTGGCCCCCAGTCCCTACCCTTTTCCCTTGTGGGCTGTCTTCCCACAGGCAACCGTATTGCTGAGAACTGTCTCTTGTGCTCAGCACCCAACACATACTGGCCAAGTGCCCTAACACTGGTGCAATTTCAGAGCCAGATCCTGTGTTGAGGGCTACTAGGTTTGCTGTCTGGTGGGGAGACTACAGGAGCCACACTTCTAGAAGCAACAGGAGCGAGTGGGAACTTCACAGAGAACTTCACAGGAGCGAGAACTTCACAGAGAAGCTAGTCATTAGTGCCCTCCTTTCAGCCACTATCTTCCAGGCCTGGGTGTCCAAGGCTGGCAAGGCACAGGTACCCCTGAGGAAGAGAAAGGGCGAACCAAAGACTAGGAGAAGATATGTGCAACCAACGCAGCTGAAAAAGACTCCTCTCTGGAACACGCACAGGGCCGGTGAGAGGGCACCTGCTGCCAAGCCTGAGTTCAATTCTGGAGACCCACATGGTGGAAACAGAGAACCTTCTCCCACAGGTTGTCCTCTCTGACCTCCACCTGGACCATGGCACGTGTACACACACACACACACACACACACACACACACACACCCTAAACTTAAAAATAAAAATGTAAAAATCAATAATAAAAAGGCAAATGGTCCAACTGAAAAACAGGCAATAGCCAGGTGTAGTGGGACACACCCATAGTCCCAGCTACTCAGGATCAGAGACAGAAGGATAGTTTCAGCTTAATTTCTGGAGGCCCCGAGAGATCAAGCCGCCATACCCCTCATTGGTAATAGAAGCTGCCACTCCTGGGCCCTGTAGCCAGGGTTTCCTCTCTCCCCCCCCCCGACCCTGGCACGCGTACACACACACACACACACACACACACACACACACACACACCCTAAACTTAAAAATAAAAATGTAAAAATCAATAATAAAAAGGCAAATGGTCCAACTGAAAAACAGGCAATAGCCAGGTGTAGTGGGACACACCCATAGTCCCAGCTACTCAGGATCAGAGACAGAAGGATAGTTTCAGCTTAATTTCTGGAGGCCCCGAGAGATCAAGCCGCCATACCCCTCATTGGTAATAGAAGCTGCCACTCCTGGGCCCTGTAGCCCCTTGGTCCCTGGAACAGAGAAGTGCACGCTCCGGAAGAATTTCCTTTCCAGGGTCTCCTTCCAGAATTCCAGAAAGAACTGCATAGCCCTGGACTGGAGCCTTTCATCAGGTGAACCAAGACGGAGACCCGGAATGGAAGTCCAGACCAGGTAAAAGGAGGGGGCCCCCCAGGGGAGACAGGTAGGAACTGGTATAGGCTAATCCCCATAGGAGGCTGCATACAAAGGCTTGACACGGTTCCAAAACAGCACTGGCTTCTAATCTGGAAGGAAAGGGGACCAAGATTAAACCTCGATGTGATTCCGAGGTACTGGCCCCATTTAGGTCAAACAGGAATTTGATGGGAATAACTAAGGAACAAAAGTAATGGCACCTCCTGGATAACTTTAAACTAGGCTATGCAGGAGATTATGGCATTAAGATAAAACCCTCCAAATGAAAAATCTTCTGTGAGCCGGGCGTGGTGGCGCATGCCTTTAATCCCAGCACTTGGGAGGCAGAAGCAAGCCGATCTCTGTGAGTTCAAGGCCAGCCTGGTCTACATAGTGAGTTCCAGGACAGCTGGGGCTACAGGGAGACCTTGTCTCAAAAAGACCAAAAAGAAAAAAAAAAAGAAAAAAAAACCTTCTGTGAAAGAAAAGCCTTCTGTGAAGTCAAGTGGTTTGACATCAGGCCATGCTGGAGAAGACTCCCTGATCCAGATGGAAGCTACATGAACCCTAAAGCCAGCCTCATACTTTCCAGAAGAGGAGGGAGAACTGCCCCATAGCTATGAGGGGGTTATAGAGGAAGTATTCTCCTCCCGTCAGATTTGCTACTTGCAAAGGACCATCCTAATCAAATTCCTTGATTATTGTGTTTTGGGTGCACCTAGTTTTTGTGTAATTATGTTATATGTGTCTATAATAATTGTTTTCCATGTGTTATCTGAGATTTCATGTAATTGTGTAGTATATGTCTATATGTTTTCTCATGTGTTGAGATCTCACGTAATTCTGCCATGTGTGTCTACAATAATTGTCTTCATATGTTGTTTCCATCAAAGCAAACTGGCCACTTCAGTTTTCGTTTCATTCTTTTACTGTGCACAAAATTATTAGTTTTAATTTGTGCATGCCCAATTAAAATACACGTGCAGATTTATAAATATGGATATTTTGATGATACATTCAAAGGTCTTGTAAACATGGTTACCCTAAAACATGTTAAAATTTATTAGACAATGTTTCTAGTTCTATTAAGTGTTTCACAAAACTTTAAAGTGTTACTTGTTTACACAAAGTATCTGAGCTGGTTGTTTAAGGATCTTATTTGTTAGATGCCTTTTGGTTTGGGTTTGCTTTCAAGTTCTTTGTTTTAAAGCATCTCTTTGTTTGTTTGCTTTGGAAGTATTTTGGTTTCAACATTCCTTCTGGTTTGTGTTGCTGTCAGACCTCTAAAGGCCTGAAAAATGGGTTGAGGAAACTGAACTCCAGGCCGTAGATTTGATTTATACGTTAGCTCATCTTCAGAGCTGAGGATGAATTCTGGGACTGGTTTTCCTGTCTCATCCTTCTGGCCTTGTCCTTCACCCTCTGTTTTCTGCAGGGGGCTCTGTATGCAGGCAGATATGGCCTGTTTGGAGGTGGGGAATGTTTCTTCCAGGGAAGCTCTGCTGGCTTGGATGTGTCTTGTACTTTTCTCCCCTGGAGCAACTTTTTGCCTTTAGCTCTCATGCTCACGTCTGCACTGAAGTGCCCTTATACTAGCTATTCCTAAAGTCCTCATCTGCAGCTGAAACCAGGAATCCTGGTTTCTCTTGAACAGAGATCTCTGAAACCTGGGAGAGCTCCCTAGGCTCCTGGAGATGGCCACATGGCAGCTGTGCTTCTGTTTCTCTGGTAGAGGCCCATTTGGAAATCTCTAGACTCATCCATACTCTAGCACTTCAGTCAAACATCATAAGAACTGATTCCCAAGATGGCCTGAGCCAGTCTCTTACCTCCCAGAGAAGAGCCTGAGACAAAATGAGACAACAACAATGTGTTCAGAATAACTCCTTTGAAACTCTATTATGTTTATTTTATTTTATAAAATTACTATGTCCTTTTGTGCGGAAATCTCTAGACTCATCCATACTCTAGCACTTCAGTCAAACATCATAAGAACTGATTCCCAAGATGGCCTGAGCCAGTCTCTTACCTCCCAGAGAAGAGCCTGAGACAAAATGAGACAACAACAATGTGTTCAGAATAACTCCTTTGAAACTCTATTATGTTTATTTTATTTTATAAAATTACTATGTCCTTTTGTGCATACACTGAACAACCTCTAGACATCTATTCTCATAACTCATCTAGACTCATAACTGTTCTCCACAATGTGTCGTCTTAGACGCTGGGCAGTGATGTGACTTTGGGTTTGTTTCCTTTGCAGTCTCTCCCCCTCCCTTCTTCCTCATAGGAAGCAGAAGGCCGCCCTGGGCCTGAGCTGCTGCTGCCACAGACCTCCAGCCCCGCAGACTTGGCATGCTGGCTCCTCTGCCCCTGTGCACTGTGTGCTTGTGCTTTCTTCTCATTCTGTCTGAGCTCCTGCCTTCTACTGTGGGGGAGTTAGCTGTAAACAGCTGTACTTAAATCATACTCATGAAAACTATTTTCTTATACTCTATGCTTTTGGTATTGTCAATCTTTAAAAATTAAATGGTCTTTGATAATTGATCGATTTTGTATTGCCTTATTAAGACCAAATACTTCTTGTCATCCCATTCTTTACCCTCTCCTTTAATGGAATTGTCTTTAATTAAAACTTTTTAAACATTGACTTGTTTTACTCATACCGAAACTTTTGGTTATATTTAGTTATGAGTACAAATGTAATGTATAATTCTGTTATCCGTTACCTGTTGAGTTT